CGCAACATGGGAAAAAGGAAAGGGCAAAAGAGTTCCTGAAGTCAGCTACCAGGGCCTGGGACCAGACCTCCTACACATCACGGGAGAAGCCTGGGGCAAGTTATCCACTCTCTCTTTTAAGGACATAAGTTCTTCAGCTATGTAACTGAAATAATTGACAAAACCTTCACAAAGATGCCATGAAAACAGACAAGTGTGTAAAGTCACCTGACTTACTGGGCATTAAAAAAAAAATCCAAAAATGAGATTCCACTTCTCGCCCACTACAATGGCTGCATAAAACAGTGTTGGTAAGGACATGGAGAGACTGATGACCTCATATGCTGCTGATGAGAACGTAAAATGGTGCAGTTGCTGTGGAAGACAGTTCAGCAGTTCCTTAATAAATTAAATGTAGAATTACTATATGTCCCAGCAATTCCACTCCTAGGTGCACACCCAAGAGAACTGAAAACATATGCTCACGTAAAAACTCATGCACAAATGTTCATAGCAGCATTATTCAAAATAGCCCCAAAGTAGAAACAACCTGAATGCCCATCAGCTGATGAACAGAAAACCAAAATGTGGTTTACACATTCGATAAAATACTATTTGGAAATAAAAAAATGATGTACTGATACATGCTACATTGTGGATGAACCTTAAAATAATAACGCTTAATGAAAGAAGCCAGACACAAAGGCCACCTGTTATACTATTCTTACTTACATAAAATGTCTAAAATAGGCAACTCTATAAAAACAGAAAGTAGACTAATAGTTGCCAAAGGCTTGGGAGCATGGAGAATTGAGGAATAACAGCTAAATGGTTCTGGATTTCCTTCTGGGGTGATGGCTATGCAATTCTGTAAATATGATAAAAACCATTGAACTGTACACTTAAATGGATGAACTGTACAGTATGTGAATTACACCTCAATAAAGCTGTTACAAACATAAATGAATAGAACCCTTCTTTCAGGGTAGGCATCATGTTTTATTTTTATTTAGTTCTTCCCATTCAGTCAAAATAGAAGCCACTAAAGAGATGTTTGCTGAACTGAATTTGAGTTTAGCTGCAGTCTGCACTCCAATGTGAACAGCAATCTGCATTTGGAGAGGCACTCTATGCAGTGTAGTCCTTCCTGGGGACACGGTCCCGTTGTCAGCCCACATGCCCCAACAGCCTTCATGGCTCTGCAGGGCTTCCTGTCCACCTGTCTACCTGCCCAGAATGTGTGGGAGGCTGGCTGGGGTGGAGGGCCCTGTCGTCAACTGTAGGACAGATTTTCACACATAGAAGATTGTCTAAAGTCTTCTCAGCACTATTTTAACCGATAAGCAATCCATTCTAAGCAATATAAAGTACTGGAAATCACATTTGTACAAAAAAAATCGAAATTATTTTAAAAATAGCAGTACCTTTCAAAGTAACTGAAAAAAGCAAGAAATGTAACTTTCAGCTGGCAATCTATTTGATATTGTTTAATAAACAAATCTAACTTTTAACCGTGCAGAGTTAGCTACGTGCAGTACCACCTAAAACTATGCTACTAGGTGATTTTACTTCAGCAAAAGGACTAGGTTTACCCCTATTTGCAAGGAGGTGATTCTTAACTGAACATGGCCCAGCCCTCACAGAAGGGAGATCAAAATGTCACTGTGGGGCCCAGCAACACTTGTGGAGAAGAGCTTTTCTTCTTCAAACGTTAAGACTTGTGTTATTAGCGTTCATCTAACATCTTTTTGTCATTTTGTGACTTCAACTAAAATTCCAGCAGATTGTTTCTCCTGAAAAAAATAGATTTTTGCCAAATTTTTTTTTTTCCTTTTCTGTCTTTTTTTTTACTGACCGGCAACGGGATCGCAACCCTCGGTGTCGCGCCCGTACCGCGCTCAGCCAGTGAGCGGGAACCAGTCTCCACATGGGATCCGAACCCTCGGCGGGAGTGCCGCCACGCTTCCAAGCGGCGCATTCTCCAGTGCGCCACCGGGCCGGCCCGATTTTTGCCAAATTTTAAAATATTCTCTAGAAAGATATTGAATAGAATATCTAACAACTTGAATCAAATTTATATGAGGGTACTTTAAAAAGTTCATGAAAAAATAGAATTAAAAGAAAATACAAATATTTCCAAGTTCACAGAAATATTTGTATTATCTCTTAATTCCATTTTTCCATGAACTTTCTGAAGTACGCTTGTAGTAGTGAGAAGCATCTGTACATTTTATAATTTACATGTTTTGAAAACTGCCCCCCACCCCGACCCCAAGAGGCTCTTTTATCTGAGTATACACCAGGGGCAACTATGCAGATCAGCACATGCTGTTCTACTTTCAGGCACTTTAATTGCTCTCAGAAGTGCAATTACACACACACACACACACACACGAGCTATGACAAATATAGCAAACACATTTTTTTCTAGCAATGCAATTGAAACCATAAAATAAAATGTACTACTAAAGTCCATAGGCATAAATAATGTTTAAAATACAAATTCACTTAAGTAAAATAACTACAGCTAACAAATTTTAAAGCCAAATTACTAACAGAAACAAATCATTGAAACAGACAATGTTTAATATCTTTTTATATCTTACTATACTTAAACCCCTTTTTTCTCTTTCTCTCTCTCTCTAATAAACACATATATGTTTACATATAATCAAGCAGTCTAGCTCCAGCCTTGTCTTAGGGGAGAGAATATCTAAAGATCATGTGAGTTGGTTTTCCTTTTAAAGTCTAATGTCTAAACACTTACTTGCAAACCAACTGAGCTCACAGCATTCCATTACCCTGCCTCAGGGACCCTTCTACTATCTGTGGCTTCCAACTTTTCCTCTCTTACACAGCTAGCAAGGGCTTAACATCTTTGGTGCTTTCATGTTTACACACTAACCTATAGGCCACCACATCATTACTGATCACCAGCTTTAAGCAATTTTGTTTACTGCAAAGCTTTAACTGTCTTCACCAAATTTTTGCTCATAGTTTCTTTTTGAATATAAACGGTATTTCAAAAAGTTCCTGGAAAAAGGGAATTAGAAGACAATATGAATCCTTCCATGAACTTTTTGAAATATCCCCATATTTTCATTACACTTCAGTATCTTGTTCATACTTTGATTAAATGGCTGATCTACTTGAATTTTCATTGTAAATATAATCATAGCAAATAGGTAGTTGTCTGGGGCTCAATGAAGTCCACCATGAAAGGTCAACTCCCTGCAATATCACAAGAAGAAACCCTTTCATGACACAGTTGAGTCTGTCTTAAAGACAAGCAATCATAATGTGAATAAACATGTTAAATAACTAAGCTTTTCTATTTATTCTTCCTCCTGTTTTTCCTTAGCCCTCAGAGCAGACTTAGATACTCTGTTAGGAATAAACACCTTTTAAAAGAGTGTATGAGATTATATATATAGACACAAAAACCCCAACAAAATACTAGCAAAACAAATGCAACAACATGTTTACATATATATATATATATATATATATATAGAGAGAGAGAGAGAGAGAGAGAGAGAGAGAGAGAGAGAGAGAGAGAAAGACTAGTGGGATTTATCACAGGGATACAAGATTGATTCAGCATATGAAAAGCAATCAATACTATAACAACATATTAATGAAATAAAGGACCACTTTTTCATGATAAAAATACTTAAAAATTAGGAATAGGAGGAAAATTTCTTCAATCTGATAAAGGCATCTATAAAAATCCCACAGCAAATAAGCACCTAATAGTGAAAGACTGAAAGCTTTTCCTTAAGATTAGAAACAAGAAAAGAACGTCTGATCTTGCCACTTCTACTCAGAAAAATAGGACAAATGACTCTAAATCAGAGTCAAAATCAGAATTTGAGATGTTATATATTTCATATAACCTTTCTAGACCAAATAGATATTTTTGAAGAGTTGCAATTTCTGTTGGTTTTGTTTGATTTGTTTATTGTTTTTAATTCTTGAATTAAAATTTTAATTCTTGAATTCCTTATTCAAGGAATTAATAGGAAATTGTAACTTTTTAAGGGGAAAAAAAGATTAAATAAACAGCAAAACTCCAGAATCATTCAAATTAAAAACTAAATATCTGTTTCATTCTAGAATGACACATGTCTTACTCTTCATTTCTCCTATACATTATTTACTGAAATAAAACAAATTTCTCCTTGAATACTTGTTTTAAAAATGCTAAGATTACACAGCAACTACGTCTAATTCATTTTAAAATTAAAAAACAGAGAGTTGATGTGTCAAATCTCTAAATATTTCCTAATACTTCTGTAATGAGAAAAAAGAAAACTTGGAAGAATCCTTATTTAAATGTTTAGCTAAGCCTTTAAGTTGGTCTGGCAAGTCTGGAGACTCGTTAATTCTCAGTATTTAGATTTCTAAATTTCTACATTTAATTACAAAGTTAAGTATATTTATTTAATATTCTGGTTCAGTTAATGAATTAACTTGTTATAAGATAAATTACATAACTGGAAATAACTAGTTTTAAATGTGGATCCTCAGCAATGGTACTCATTTAGTTGGATAAAAATTTTCGGAAACTTCTTTTTAACGGCTGCCTTATACCTCTTTATAAACACAGTCCATTTTCATTATGGGAAAGGACATGCAGATCTCAGACACTTGGTGATCAACAGAATCTTGCACAGTATTTTTATCATACTCCTTATATTAAAACGTGGTTTGCACAAACAAAATTAAAAATGGGGATTGCCGGGCCGGCCCGGTGGCGCACTGGATAGTGCGCCGTTTGGGAAGCGCAGCGGCGCTCCCGCCCGAGGGTTCGGATCCCACATACAGACCGGTTCCCGCTCACTGGCTGAGCGAGGCGCGGGAGCAACACCGAGGGTTGCGATCCCGTTGCCGGTCCCTGGTCCGGTACGGGGGCAACACTGAGGTTTGCGATCCGTTGCCGGACACGGAAAAAGACAAAAGACAAAAAAAAAAAAAAATGGGGATTGCCACTCACATGCAAACCCAGACATTCCACTCACCTTGCGGTGCTATCAGAGTTCTTCCATTCTCCTGACACCAACCAACTGGCTGGACATAAGGACTATTAACATCACACCTGCAAAAACAGGATTCTATTTTAGATCCCATATTACTAAATGCCAGAGAAAGAATCCAAGTGTCATGACCACTCTGGATATTGAGAGATACCACAAAAAACAGTGCTTCATAGCTAAAGAGAATTAGAAGTAATTTTTACTACTGTATTTGTCAGTTGAGTGACCAAACTTCTCTTTTACATAACCTTCTCGAAATTTAAAAGTACAAAACAAAGGGGTGGCAGTGGGGGGATGATTGACAAGGACCCGAACTGCCAGCGACATACCTGAAGAGTGAAGATTTTAACAAACTTCTACCACTTCTTGCTATCAGCAAGTGAAAATATTAATAGGACAGTCCAAATTTTAAAAGAACAGCCCATTCGGACTCCAGATGACATTTTTCCTCCTTCTCCTTTTCAAAGAACTCAGAATATTCTACTTATGACACATACAACAAGTCCTCTCTGCTCCGCTGCTCAGTTCGAAGGGGAAAACAGGCCCCGCCACACACATGAAGAACCACAGCCTCAGGCAGGGACTTGTAGATTACTCAGGACATACTAGAAAGAAATGCTATAAAAATTCTTTTTGGGGCCGGCCCAGTGGCGCACTGCTACAGTGCGCCGCTTGGGAGCGTGGTGGCGCTCCCACTGAGGGTTCGGATCCCACATACAGACCGGCCACTCACTAGCTGAGCGAGGTGTGGGAGCAACACCGAGGGTTGCGATCCCGTTGCCGGTCCTGGTCCGGTACGGGCGCGACACTGAGGGTTGCAATCCGTTGCCGGGCACGGAAAAAAGACAAAAAAAAAAAAAAAAAAAAAAATTGCAAGTTCCTATCTTCCTCCTCATAGAAACGCTTCGTTACAAACCAAACAAGATATAGTGAAGCACCCTGAACTGGTCCTACCATTTCTGTGAGGCCTCATTACCTAACCTCTCACAGAATGGAGAAAAAGTTTCTTGGGCTCCTTAACGTGGAAGGGAAGGTAGTGCAAGGTCAACCACTAAATTCCTGATGTTCCTTACTGTGAGAACAGCAAGAACAGCGACAGTACTGAAATTAAAATAAATTCTTAACACCAAACATAGGAACACACAAAAATAAAATGCACATAGGTGTCTCACCAGTAATCATAACAATCATCCCAATTGTCAAAATGCACTAGCAAGCGATCTTCGACAATATCTGCTATGGTCGCCACACACACCAAGGAAGGGTTCTTCCTATCGACGGCCTCCAGCTTCATTCCAACCTGAAATTCTTTAGGCATCGGCCCATTCTAACACAGCACCAGAGAGGGAAGAGGCACAAAAAGAAAGAGGACACCAGACAGGACTGAGCCACTATGAAAACTTCTATGATGTTTACATCAGCAACGTGCATAAGGTGTCAACACTTACCCTCTGGAACAAAGTCAGCAAATGCCAGTAAAAATACCCAGCAACTGTCACGTAGTTTACATTCATAACACAGACCCAGGAAACTAGCGTGCCTTCAGGCTTTCCTTCCTTGCTGTGCAGGTAGATTTTCTTTACCTTATCTTCATTTTTCCCTGTTCAGTTCTTATAATAATTTGTATTAATTTTGAAACAGGATGTTTACTGAATACAGTAGCATTAAATAATTTTCTCTGCTCCCCATAGACTTTTGAATAGTTTCTGAATACCAATATTTAAAAAGTTGTAAAGATATACTTTTTTAGCACCAAAATATCAGTTAATTTGATTACTCAATCTGCAAATAATGCCTTTTTTCCTCAGCATTTAAGGAACACATGCATTAATCCATAAACAAAATTTAGTTAAAAAATACAAATGCTTTTTTTGGTATCTATACATTTTTCAGTATAAAAAATGCCATGGACTATGGTTTACAATAACACATCATTTGCAAAAGCCCTCTCTTCATATAGCTATAATCAGCCAGTCCTGGGATTTAAGGAGTACACACACAATAAATGGGGACTAAACCACGCCTTTTTCTCTACTTCTTTACTATCTGTACTGAACCCTAATTTTTATTTTTCCTTTAGCACTTTCTATTTTTAAATGAATTTCACATTTCAATAACTCTCTTTCCTTGATACAATTCTGTGAAACACATGTGACAAGTGTATAACACTGACTTCAACATCACGAAAGTAAAGTCTTGAGACATTCGGTGCGTGGCCTGCACAATGACTCCAAGGGCAGGTGACAGCTCTGAATTCTGTCCCCGGGCTTCTGTAAGTCCACCTGCCCTCTGCCTCACCGCCGAGAGCAGACGATGGCAAGAGGAGTCAGGGCCACTACTTACTCTCAGTCCCTACTGGAGGTTAGTCAGGTTGCTGGGGACACAGATGGCACAAGCAGTGTGCTCTGCCCAAATGATTACCATACCCCTCGAATCTATTTAAAATGTTACTTTCATCTTTTTACACTTAAATATATCTAGACTGAGTAGATTCAAAGTTTACCTGGAGTATTTACTGGTTTTAAAATGCCAAAACTAAGTTTAAAAGATTAACACTGTAAGCTAAAAGGAAAAACATTTTAAAAACACATTTTAACTTTTAGCAGGCTTTAAATATAAAGTTTTTAACTTTCCCCCGTCTAATTGAAGTATTTAATTATGCTTTTAGAAAAAAATAAAATAAAAAGACATGCCCATAGGTTACTGTGACAATTTAAGTAAGAAAAGTCATAAGAAGTTAAGAGTTTCCATGACGTCTTAAGGGATTAAAATAGAATATATAGTGAATTTGAAGAAATTTAAGCTCAGGGGAAAAGCTGATTTACACTGAGTAAAAAATACTTACAGAACTTCTATTTATGAATAATTTCTTGGGAGCATTTTGCAATTTGCAGGCCTTCAAGTAATCCATCCAAACAAATTTATCTTTTCTATAACCTAAAAAAAAAGTATGGGTTACTAAAAATACCTACAAGATGCAACCACATGCATATTAAATGAATTATTATTAAGTCTTCGGCCATAAATTCAATGTCCTTAGCAGACCATAAAAGATTTAAATAAAAATCTCCAAATTGTTTCAATGTTTTTTTAATATATTAAGCGCAAAACTGTCGATAGTGACTTCCCATTATGCACATCATTACCTATACATTTTTAATATTCACTGGTACAGAGTTGGTTCCCTGGTGGCTTGAGGGAGTGTCATCTCCCATTTAGGCTTTCCAGAATGGGCAAAGGCATGAATCTTCCCCCTCTGATGAGGAAGCTGGCTCACGGAGACCACTGGAGGTCCTACTGATGCAGCCATCCAGGACACCTGACACTCAAGGGAAGTTACAGGAACCTCTTTACAATCCAAAGATCAGCTGGCAGCTCCAGCTTTCTGCTCCATGTCTTTGCCAGTTTCCCATTAAAAATGCCTTATCTTCCCATGCATGTGCCCTGAAGTGGCTCACACAGTGCTGGCCCAAATAAAACAGGCTCAACACATATTTTCTGAATATCACACTTAGAACAAAAGTCACACTCCTTGCACAGCCTTCAAGGCCACGGCTACACCTCTGACTTCATCTCTCACCTTTGTTCTCACCTTGCTTCTCTGCTGTCTCTGTGAGAGACTCCTCCCCTCACCAAGCACACTCTGCCCCAGGGCACCTTCTCTTGCTTTCCCTCTAACTGATGCTCTTACCCAGACAGCCACATTGCTAAATTTTCCCTCATTTCATCCAAATCTCTGTGGGATGTCACATCCTTGGAGAGGCCTTTCTTCAGCATGCTACCTGAAAGAGTGTCGCTGTGGCCACTCAGTCCTCCACGACCCTTCTCCCCTCCCCGTCCAGAATGAAAGCCCCATGGAGACAGAGGCTTTGTTTGCTTTATTCGCTGTTCTATCCCCAGTGCCAGCATGTAGTAAGGCCACATGAATACATGGGCCTGTTGCCTGCCTCCAGCTTCCATGAAATCCAGCAATCTTCTGAGTCTCTGCTGTTAGCCTCAGGGGCAGATCTCAGGGGACACCCTGAATTGATTACTAAGAACAAAAGAACTATACACTGACTCCAGAAGTCGCCACAGTCATCGAACTGTCTAAACCCCAGCAGGAGACTGTATACAGAAGTTTGCCTTGCAAAGAAACGGGACCACCAGCAAGTAAAAAAGGTTTCAGTCACATCTGTCTGGCCCAGCTTTCTCTAGCATGTAACAGAAGATGAGATTTTAAATTCCCATCAAAAGAAAACAAATAGTGGGATTTGATTCACATTTCCATGTTTTCCATGATTCCTACATTTGAAACAAATTATTTACAGTGAATCAAGTTTTCTCACCGTGTAGTATCACTAAGAGAGATATTTCATCTCAGCCATGATTTAAATGTGAGCTTTCATTCCTCATGAAGTTTATTACTCTATGTAAAATAAATTGCTCTCATAATATTTTATTTCTGCCCTAGGTACTTTTTCAGAATATTTGACCTAAACTGTCATTGATGCTTTTCTCCTAAAGACATTTATTTCTAAGAATGGTGTTATTGTAGTCTCACTGCTCTTTGTAGATCAAACTTTCATTCTGGAAATCAATTCACACCAGGCTCTCTTGTTAGTATTTCATAATATGTTGTTAAAATAAAACTGAAATAACAATCGCCTCTCTTTCCAGCTGGTAAATGCATCCTGGCTTACCCTTAGGGATGTGCAACTCATGTTTGGTCTTTTCACACCATCCTACTGGATGGATGTCAGGGGAACCAGCATTGGTCCAAAAATCATAGCAGCTTAAATAACCATCAAAATGAAGTCTTAGACGGTAACCACACACCTGCAAAATGAAAAGTTTGCAACCGTTCATTAAGTGTCATATATTTGAAATGGACACAAAATTCACAAAATATTTTTGTCAGTGCCATCAACATATAAGAGCCAATCCTTCCATCCAAATATTTTCATTAGAGAAAAAAATTATAGATGACATCTGATTAAGACAAAATGGTGACAAAATAGATACTGTCTTTCAGATATCTAAAGCCTTCTGCCAAAAAAAAAAAAAAAAGACTTTGAGAAGCTCTGAAGGGGAGATCAAAAATGTGGAATAGAGAAGAAACTGCAAAATTAGACGAGTATTTTAATTGCCAATTCAGGAGTATAAATAAGTGGGAATCTCTTAACCCACAATTTTCATTGCCAAACTAGACAAAATAACCAAATTCATTCAATGTATACAGCCATTTTGTGCTTGTGGTAGAACATTAATTGTCTAGTTTATTTAATAATTCAATACCTATTAAATATTCCTTTCAGAAACCCTATCTCCTGCTGTCTGGCTTGGATTCTTATTCCAAGACAGGGTAAGCCAAAGTACAGAGCAAACCAAAATGGGTATGGCTTTGTTTCAACTCTAACATATGGGTCCAGCATACTCAATAAAGGAAATAATAAAACAGTCTGAGAAGTATATCCTCTAGACATGCTACACAAGTTTAATAGCTATAGTCAATCCATAAAGTAATGAATGTGACTTCTATATTCAATACTATTAGAAATATAGAGTTTTTTTCATCGATTTAATAATATGTTTACTAAATATTACATTTTATAAGCCGTTCACTTTCATAAAGGGCTTTTTACTCTATATAATTTTCATAAAATGCATGTGTTTACATAAACATATAATTCATATGTGTGAATATTTATTCATACACATTTCTCATTAGTTCAGCTAAAATGTGAATAATTATGTCTCTGTTAAGGTAAAAACAACATTGTCAGATTCTTACACTATTATCAACCCCAGGTGAAATCTACCAATTAAATCAAGAGTAAATGCTAGTTGAGGAAGGACTTACTGAAAATTCATCTTCAGAGGAGGAGAAAAATTATTAAGAAACATATTTTTACCCATCTATGACTAATATAAATCCATATAATGCACTGAAATTGTTTATGATAGATAGTACTCAAATTAGTTATTCTCTAGAAAAATCTCTTACTGTCACTATGCAATTAGCACAAGACAACAACACCTTCTCTTACCTCAGCTACAGAAAGCACACAGAATACAGATGGATGTCGGGGATCAATGCCTTCTAATCTCATTCCAATCTGAAAACCATTTTCATGCTCTGGAAAGGACTGATCCTATGAAATTTCATGATGTAACATTAGCCACTGAGATTTCTTCGCAATTTTATACTAAAACATTTGGGGTCAGTTATATGAAGAATCTAAAACAACCTAACTCATAGAAGCAGAGAGCTGAGTGGTGGTTACCAGAGGCCAGGTGGTGCGGGGATGGGGGAGATGTTGGTCACAGGGTTACAAGGCTGCAGTTAGACAGGAGAAATAAATGATAAGTACTTAAGGTGATGGATATGTTAATTAGCTTGATTCAATCCTTCCACATTGTATACATATATCATAACATCACTGTGTGCCCCATAATTATATATGATTATAGTTTGTTTAACTTTGGAATAGTTCATCTGTGAAGCTGTATGTCCTGATAACCTCCCATTTATTCCTTTTGCCCATTTTTCCTTTCTGCCTCTGAACAACAGTGCTTTGTTGATTACATGGACTACTTATTCTCAGGCTTTGACTTAGCTCTTCACTTTGTTTATGGTGATGCTGTTGCAGAGAAACTTTAATTTTAATATAGCAAAAAAATCAATTATTTCCTGTACAGTCAGCACATCCAGCCCGCAAAATCTTTCCTAACCCTAATGCTATACAGATATTCTCCTAGTATTTTAAACTGTTCAAGTTTTATTCTTCACATTTAAATCTATAGTACAACTGGAATTGATTTTTCTATGGTGTGAGTCAGGGGCCTGGTTTTTATCACATGGAAAACAAACTATTCAAGAAATTCTTTTTATAGTCCATTCTTGCATTGATCTGCAAAGTCATTCTGTCATATATGATTTCTACATATTTGTAGGCCTATCCCCGGCCCTTTTATTCTGTTTCATTGACTTATTTGCCTGTATCACAGTCTTATTTGCTTATAATGAGTCTATCTGGAGAGAAATCTTTACCAGACTGAGCTTTCTAATTCAGAAACTTGCTCTCTCTCCATTTAATCTAATCACTTTTGTTTGTCAAAGGTGTTTTTGTTTTCAATTTTCACATAGACTTCCAAAATACTTTGCTATATTTATGTCTAGGTACCTTTTAACATTTATTGCTGTTGTAAATGAAACTTTTCACAACAGACTTTTTCATTTGTTCCTATTCATTATTATTTTCTTTAATATGGTATTATTTCCCACCACCTTGCTGAATTATCATTAGTCTTGAGCAGACAGTTTTGAGCAGATTCGGCATTACTAGTCAATTCAAATAAACATGTACTAATGGAAAGTTATGGCTAGAATCTAGTTCTATTAGATCCAGAGCTGCTTTTTAATCACTAATTGTATTACTATTTAATACTGCTTAACATGTGAATGCCTATTTTTAGGTTGAAATCTATTATTTTAAAAATTTTCATTTAGAGATAACGTCAAGCTCAAAGAAAAGTTGAAAGAACAAAACAGCACAGAAAACACTTGCACAACCTCCTTTGCTTTATCATTTCTACTCACTCCCTCCGTCTCACATATCTTTGTACACATAGGGAAATATAGATATAGACATTATATAAATATAGGTATTGATATAATTTTTGCGAAGCATTTGAGGACCCATTATCCCTAAATACTAATATTTTTCCCTAACAGCAGTGTATTTTCCCTTAGAACATTCTTTCACATAACCACAGCTCAGTTATCAACTCCTTTAAATTTATCATTTATACAATTCTTTTAACTAATCTTCCAATCATATTCCAGTTTTGTCCATTCATCCAACAACATGCTTTATAACACTCCCCGCCCCTACGGGTCAGATATTACATTTAGTTGACAAGTCTCTTTAGTCTCCCTTAATATGGAAAATTTTCCATAGCACGTCTTTGTTTTTTACAGCATTGACTTTTTTTTTTTTAAGAATATGGTCTTTCCCTTCCTCTGATTTTTCAACTAGCACATTCCTCATTTTGGCTTTGTCTGATGCTTCCTCATGATTAGATTCAGGATATATACTTTTTTGCCAGAATCCTACATAGGTGATGTTGCGCCCTACTCAGGATGTCACGGCATGAGGCATATGATGTCCACCTGTCCCTCACTGGTCATGTTAACTGTGACCACTTGATCACAGTGTTGTCCGATCTCTTCACTGTATAGTTCCACACAAAACACACATATATGAGGATCTTCAGAAAGTTCATGGAAAGACTCACATTATCTTCTATTTTTCTATGAACTTTTTGAAGTACTTTTTGAAGTATATACATACAAATATACGTACACACATACATGCATTTGCACATAACTATATTTTATTAATCGTAAGTTCAAATAGATACATCCAATTCTAATCCACTTCTTCCATGCATTTTGTACTTCTCTAACAAAGCCAACACATTTACTCATTTACTGAATCCAATAGTTTATGTCTTATAGTTTCAGAATTGTTTTACTCCCCTACCATAATAAACAAACCTACTAAAAGAGTTCAGAATTTGTTTGCAATTTTCCCTAACCCCTCTGTCACCCATGAATGGAGTATATCTTTTAAAACTGCATTCAGAAACTACTTGAATTCATTATTTTTATTTTTTTCCTTCTCTTCAGTGCAGTTATAGTATTCATTTGAAATACAATTGAGCTCCTTTGTTTCAATTTGCTTTCAGTTCTTAATGATTTATTTTTGTGCTTTTCAATATGTAGAATATTAACATACTTTCAAAAGTTAAAACTATACCAAAAGGTACCCAGAGATGTGTCTCTTCCTCCTGTATCTTATCCACCTCCTTCCCCCAAACCATTTCTTTCAGGTAGCCAACTTCACTTTCCTGGTTCATCCTTCCCAAGTTTCTTTTTGTGAATATGAGTAGTTGTGTTTTCCTTATTTTCTCTTCTTTCTTACACAAAAGTCAGCATACTATACATGCTTTTTTGCACGTAGCTTTCTGCACTAGTTACTAATGTCTCCTGAAAACCACCGTGTGTCAGGTCACACTGATTGTCCACATTCTTTTGTACAGCTGCATTGTACTCTACTGTGGGTAGGTTCCACAGTTTTTTCAACCTGCTTCTATACTTGGACGCATACCTTTTTTATGTGAACATGAAATCGTTTAAAAATCTTTATGAGTTGGCTTGGAAAACGTCGTTAAAAACTTTCTTACATTCACAGATCATTTTAGAAGCCTCCAAGGAAAAACTTAAAACAAAACCCAAAAATGAAATGGCAAGAAAGAATGTTTTCTCGGGAATGTTTTTTCCACAAAAAATAAATGGTCGTGTGTGTGTGTCTAACTCTCCCAGCCTTCTTCTCACATGTACTCTGTTTCCCAGCAAATTGTATTTAACAAGTTTTGTGCGACTACCTCCTATTCACTGCTTTGAAATTTCTTGGTTAACTTCAAAGGCACCACACATACATATACACATACACACAACACTGATTTAAAAAAAAAAAAGCAAAAGAGAACGACAGACCACAGAGGGGAGTATATTAATAATGCTGAAAGAAAATTTAAGAGGCTGTTAAAGCTGAGAACTTTTTTCATGCTTTAACAAAATGAAAGATGCAAAATTGGCAGTGGGGAGAAACAGTAATGATACTGAGCAGACTGCATTTTCCTATCACACATGAAGACACAGGGAATATTCAGACAGTAATTAAGGTGATCAATGTTACTCTTGCCAGCATTTCAGGATGGTTTCTCAATTGAGCATTTGGGAGCTTTCTACAGGTTGCAAGTAAAACTATATGGCTAAAACAGACACAATATTCCTTGGAGGGTTTCAAATAAAAAATAAAACGTTCATTTTAACAATCTGAAAGGCAAAATTGAGTGAGAAATATCACTGCCTTTCATCAGTCTCTTCTGTTCAGTGGTTTATTCATGACATGACAGATTTTTAAAAATTTTCTTTTCTAAAAAATCTCATATTTTGTGAACATAATGGATAGCTGTGCTTATAAAATTATATTTTACGCTGAGAAAAGGGAACTAGGCTCACACACTTAAAGCAAATAATAAGCCCATTCAATTCAGTCATTAAAAAATCATAAAGTCTGTAGGCCTGAAAAAACTTTTACGAATTAAATAAACTCAAGCACAGAGACGTGACAAAACTTTCTCAAGGTCACATAACTAGTCTAGCAGCAGAGTGTAACTCGGGACTCAAGCCTTCTGAAAGCCTGCCAACTATCTGTTCCACCTAAGAGCACAGAGGCGGCACCAAAACAGGCAACACGAAAGCTGGCACTCGGCCACAGCAGGACTCAAGGACATTGCCAAAGAAGTGCCACATACTCCTCGGTGCAGAAGTTGAGTTGTTTTGTTTTTTCAATTTCTTTTCCCAGAACAGCTACAACGTAATCCTTTGTAGTACAAAATTGATTAAATTTGTCACTAATGATGGAGAAGAAGCATTATTCAAAGTCGCATACCCCATAGCAAAAACAGGTACAAATTATATATTCTTACTTATAAAGCTTGAAAAATGAGTCATAGCATTAGGGGAAAAAAACAAAAACAAAAAAACACCACGCCTAGAGAAAAGGCAGACAGGCTATAGGCAGAATTCCTTTATGAAGTACAACGTGTAAGAGCAACTATTATTCCATATGTTGCCAGCAGATCTTTGCTCCATGGATAAACAAAGTCACAAATGTGCAGTGTGAACAGTTCTCGTGGTAGATGCATCTGAGAAAATCTGGACATTTTATTCAATCACTAGAATCCCCCTTACTAGAGCAGAGAGACGATGCTTTGTAATGATTATTCTGTGAGCCACTATACAGCCTGGGGAAGGTGAGTGGCCAGCAGTACTAGCAGAGCATTGCTGGTGGCACAGAGGAGTGCTGAGGGCAACACTCCATCTGAATGTCCACGGGCATTCTATTTCATTAACAGGCGAGAGCTGACGGTCAGCAATATGTTCCTGATCTTAACTCAACATTGAAAGAAACGGGAGAAATTGAGCATTTCATCAAATTTCAATCACAGAGGCAGACATTCTTAGCTCCTATGCAAAGGGCTGGGCAAGGACCACAGGCCTCTAATTTCCAAACCTTCA